GGAAAAGCGATTCGTGAAAAGCGACGATGACGACGTGGTTGTTTCTACTGTTACTGTTAACGTTGCTGTTGCTATTAGTGTTGCCGGTGGTGTTACTACTGCCGTCGTCGTTCATCGCGACGAACGATATTTGAACGCTGCCACCACGATTTATCGTCTAAATAATATTTGTATTTTTTCTCTTTCTCTTTCTCTCTCTCTCTCTCTTACACATTTATACACACAAACACGCAGACACCCATAAACAAAGATCTAATTCATGTGTGCATATGCACACGTACGAGAGAAATATAAACTTTTCTCGCTGTATGGTCAGTAAATGTGGGCGGATAGTGTATATGTACGTACATGTGTATATGTGTGTGTGTGTGTGTGTGCGTATAAGGAGAGGGGATGGATATATTTATTTTCATTTGCGTTTTCTGAATTATATAACGTTCGTTTAACGGCACGAATATATTGTTCCTTTTTTAATAGTCCTCATTCCTAAACAACAACCTCTATCACTACCACCAACACCACTACCACTACCACCACTATTACCCCTTTCTATAAATGCACTTGCTATCTCATCGAGTCACACTTAAACATTCGCCAAGAATAATCTTCGCGTATTTGGAAATATTTATTTCTATCTCTATTTCTCTCTTTTTTTTTTCTTTCTCTCTCTCTCATTCTCTCTACTACCATTTCAAATAATAAAAGACTCGATCTAATGTAGAATCCATTATATCCATTAGTATTAATTAAACGCGTAGCGGACCCGCCGGCAAAGGTTCGTGCATTTTTCAACGATAAAGTCGACGACTTTTGATTATTTTATTCTCATCAATTCGATTTGATTCTGTGAAATAGGAGTAACTGAGCGGCTTATTCTCGCGTTTCTTTTTTTTTCCAATTTTTTTTTTTTTTCTTTTTTGAATTTTCCTTGTAAATATATAAGCTCATTCAAGAATCTTCGATCGACGTAAACTTTGATAGAAAAATTCTAATCACCGAGTACGCTTATAGTTTGAGATCTCTCTCTCTCTCTCTCTCTCTCTCTCTCTCTCTTTCTTTTTCTATCCCCTTCCTGTTTCTTCTTTCTATCTTTTTCTCTTTCTATGTCAGTTAAAAATAATCGATAATTACGTTTAAGTATATAATTAAGCACTTGACATTAACGAAAACAGGTGTACAACAACGGCACTTCGACGAATGATTATCATTGTTGGTGCAAAGCAACGATCGCTTTCGTTATACGAAAATGCCGGGCACGGTCCAGCGTATAATAGTTGATAATTAACGGCGATTAATGAAGTAGCAGCGATTTTCCTCTTTTCCTCGACTCACCACCAGTCGTAAACCAGTATCATCGAGTACGTTTTAATACTGGAATCATGTGAATTATTTCTAAAACGGATTACCATTCATTTCATTCACTTTACGATACAATTGTTTATTTGGGATAACAAATTGATCGAGAATTGAAATCAGTGTTTAGATAACGATAATATAATAATCATTATTGTCGTTCTATCTTTGTTTGAAATATTTATAAATTAATGTTATAACCGCGCTATTTTTATATTTATTCATTTAGATTAGAAAATTGGACGATTTTTGGAAAAAAATGTTTCCTCTCTATTTCTATCTTTTTAAAATATTTATCTCTCATAAATTATTAATAAAATAATAAGAATTAATTGTGGGATTATATATAAAATTCACCTAAGACTCATTCCAAATCGTATTTCAATTTGTATAAAATCATTAGGAAAATATTGCGTAAGTAATAGATAAAGTATAAATTGGAAATAAAAAGTATTCGCATCTTATTATAAACACTTACTTTCACTGTATCTAATCATTGATTTCAATAATTCAACTTATTTTCACCTAACAATAACTTTTTAAATCGACAAAGACAAAATATCAACAACAAAAATAACTCTCCTACTTTCAAAAAAAAAAAAGAAAGAAAACCAAAAATATGCAACCCAATTTAACGTTTATCGTAAAAAAAATTCGTAAAAAAGAAAGAATGACATTGGTAGTAGCAGGGCGGGAGGGAGTGGGTGGACAGGGGGGGGTGGGAAAAAAGAGGATAGTTTATAATTGGAAAATATTCTCGAATAAAGTATGAATGGTTCGATCTGATTTTTGTTTTGTAAAAAAGAATTCGTCATTGTCTTCGTCGTCCTTATCGTCTACGTAGTTGTATAGTAGTCCGCCATGGCAAGTCAAGAAATCTTTGATAGGAACGCTCGATAGCACAACCCGGTTGCTGAAGCGCCGGCGCCTTTCTCTCGCAGCCGGATTGGTGTACCTGAGGCCCTCTCCACACGAGTACCCACCGCACCAGGTTTCCTTGGAAACGCTGAAGGTTCGCTCTGCTGATGTCTACCCTCCTCGCCCACGGAAAACCTCTTTCAATTAGGCACCCAGCCATGGGAGACCGGAGAAGAGACCGATCCATCCCCTTCTTTTACTTCTTCTTCTTCTTGTACTTCTTCTACTTCTTTTCTTCTTCTTCTTCTTCTTCTCGTTCCTTTTTTTTTTCTTTCTGTCTACCTCTGTCTCTCTTTCTTACTTTAGTGGTGCTATCAAAAAAGACGTTTCCACTTCTCTTCTTGAAATCCAAATTGAAGAAAGTAGATGCTGTCGTAATCTTCACTCTTGTCACATGGTAATTAGAATTTATGTATTTATAATAAAAGAAGAAGTTAATATAGAAATTCCAATCGTTATTGATTAACTTGGTTTTTTATCTTACTAAAGAATTTTATTAAGTTTTAATTTACTGTCTTTTTTTGTGTGTTATTTATATATAGTAGTCTTGAAGTTTTATTATCATCTCTACCTCTCTCTCTCTCACTCTCGGCTGAGTGATATTATTTCTTTTTTATTTTGAATATTTTACAAAATTTCGTTTAATTTGTGTCCTTTACAAAATGATAATTTAGTAAATTCATAATTAACGTTGGTCAATTCAAAATTCGATTGGCAAAAAAATGTCCCATCAAGTGAGTAATAGTAATATCAAATTTGGCATAAACATTGGATTTTAAACTCTCGATACAAATTAAACCTGATATAATAATATATAAAAGATATATTATATTGGTCGTTAAAATATAATAAATAATAGAAGAAAGAAGAATGTTAGTTAACGGATATTGTTTTAATTGGAACGAATAACGTTCGAAGAACGTCATTGGAAAAGCGAACGGTACTAGTAGTTTAGATGAATAATGTAATTCGTAGAAAACGTAGGTAATCGTTGGGAATTGTTTTTAACGAATAAATTTTTTCCTGTCTATTTTCCTTTTTGATTCCTCTGTTAGATACCAAGATGATAATCTCACGAGAATAAATACGTCAATAAGAATCATCGTTCTTGTTGTCCTGTTCGATAAGAAATACAAGAATTTGAAGATATTCAGTAGATAATTACGGGTTACTGTCTCGTTAAAATTCTTACAAGCTCGGAGTGTTAACAGTAATGCAGAGATTCTATTGTATTTTCTCTTATGTTAGTGTACTTATATATATATACGTACATGTATATGTGTAAAAGAGAGAAAGAGAATAGACGTGAAGAAGAAGAAGAAGTGAGAAAAACAGAGGGACTGTTTGATATGCGGCGCAACGCTTGGCTTGACTGACGCCTCCAACTTGCGAATGAAATTTTCATGAATTTCTATTAACTCCGTTTTTCTTCGCGTGCTCCAGAGACTCCAAGGGAAAAGAAAAGAAAAAAAAAAACGAAAAAATATCTATCAAGTCGAAAAACAATAATAAAATATCAAAGAATATATCGATCTATTATATCGAAAATTATTTTCGTTATAAATATTTTTTTTTACGTTTAATCAATTATAAAACTTTTTTCCTATTTTGGAATGTGTGATTTATTTTTCCTAAAATAATATAAATTTATAAAGCGTGAACAATATTTTACTTTTACACATACTATTTTTATATATTTATGAAAAATTGAACAACAAATAATAATATAATAATATTTGCATTAATTAGAAATAATACGCGAATTGGTGGTATACTTCAAAAAGATATCTTAAGATATATCTTTAAATCGGTATGAAATAAGATCAAGAAAAATACAGTTCTCAATAATACAATAATAAATCCCTTAATAATATTTTCCAAAGTTTGAAAGATATTTATAAAATTCTCATGGGAAAATAGTTCTTAAACATTTAATCGTCACAAACTCGTGACTGTCCTCTCTCACTATCTCTCTCTCTCTCTAAAACGTTAATTGTTTATGATCAGTATGAATAATTAAATAAGAAGAAGGAAAAACATCTTCAATGTTTTATTAAGAAAATAAGGGAGTCAGAACTTTACTTTATCCAATCGAATGGAGATTCGATTTTCTTGCCTATCAAATGCCAAGAGAAAGAGAGATAGAGATAGATAGATAGAAAAGAAAGGAAGAAAGGAAGGAAATAAGAAAGATCGAGAGTCACTCCGATTTTCGGGATTTCTACTCAGAAACTGAGATTGCGGACTACGTTCGTAAAGTTTTGCGGTTGTTGTCGTGGCGAAACCCACCAAAATTCAAGACCCCCGTAGCGTTTGGGAGAGGGCTTAGATAGTACCTACTCCAAGTTTCACTTTAATCCGAAAAGCCACGATAGGCCGAAACAATTGATTCCAAAACTCTCTTGCGTTAGCCATAGTATCACTTTTGGCATGTTGCTTACGCTTAAGATTAAATATTACAATTAATATTTCAATTATTTATCATTCGAGTCAACAGAGCTATATGTTTTTTTTTATTTTTTACCGAATTTATCGGCCCTTTTTTGATAAACGTTTTTCTCCAAACGTATCTATTTATACACAAAATTATTCGTATGATTTTTCTTTCATTTATAAACAATTATAAGAGAATAATATGGTAAGTAAATTGGTATAAAAGTAACAAACCAAAAAAAAACAAAAAGTAAAAGCAAGTTTGTAAGGGATATACCTAACTCATTTCAGCTCACCTGCACGCGACTTTCGGTGAGGCCAATTCTACTGGCAATTTCTTCCCGACAAAAGATGTCAGGATAATGCGTCTTCGTAAAACACTTTTCTAGTTCGTTAATCTGTGCTGGTGTAAAACGCGTCCGATGTCGCTTTTGTTTAACCGGCTTCTCGTCTCCTTGTCCGATTGCCGTTGCACTTCCTGTTAAATCACAAACGCATAAGTAATTAGATCATAATATACGTTATATAAGATCAAAGTTATTAAAATGACATTTTTAGACAAATGAAATATTATAATAATATCAATATATTTTTCCTATGTATTTAACATTTTAGATTTAACCCTTTCACGACGCGGCTAAACAAATCATCAGTCCACAATTAATGAATAGGTCATCGTGCTCATTAATGTACACCGTTTGCGTTATTTCAGATTATGATAGATAGATAGATAGATAGATAGATAGATAGATAGATATGATAGATAGATAATATTTCAGATTTTTCGAGCTTCTATTATGTCCTCGTAAGACCGAATACACTAAACCAGCATGTTTTAATTCGCTTATCATTATTGCAAATGTCCCTGCCAGTTAATTTAGTGCTAATATTTGGCGAATTCCGAATATAACCGCGCGCCGTTCATGAAAGGGTTAATATTGGATAAGCAAGAAAATTCGTGTTGTGTTAAATTTATAGAGATGAATGATAAACGTACCTAGAAAAGACGTGAATTTTTTATCGGTTGACTAATATTATATATTTAAAAGAAGTGAATATACCTATATACAGAAAAAAAAAAAAAATCCAAGTTAAATGTGTCAAATTTATATTATTCAATTTATCTTTCGTTCCATTGAACTTAGAGAAAATATTCGTGTCATAACCAAAAAAAAAAAAAAAAAAAAAGAGAACAAAATTAAGCTTAACTTGCAAACGTTTATTTATTTATTTTTATTTAATCGATATATAAATCATATTGATTAGAAGCATCACGATTATTTCAAAGCATGATATCGAAGCTTAATACTCGATATTCTCGTTTTTTCTATTTCTATTAACGTCGACGCGTCACGATTTCTTCTTAGAAATCTTTCTAACTCGTTTCTAACGCGTCTTTTTTTTTTCTTCTATCTAACCGAAGGCAGGTATTACATCATCGTCTTGGAAACATACTCGGGATCATACGCTTCGTACATCGCGAAAATGTCTAAGAAAAAGAAACTTACTATGGTATATATATATATATATATATATATATATATATATATACTTAGTAAACGAGCTATATTATATAAATATATTCTGAACAATACATTTATTTTCTGTCTCTCTCTCTCTCTCTCTCTTTCACTCTCACCTGCACCAGGCATAGTCATGGTTAATTCCTGATGAAGCAGGCCACCGCCAGCAGATAGTCCGCTTCCCAAGCTCAGTCTTACTACCCCGTCCAACTTATCGTGACGTTTTAAATCTTGAGCATGAAGGTCCTTCGTTCCTGCGAACGAGAAAAAAGGGAAAAGAACAAAATCTTCCACCGTTTGGTTTTATCCTAGTATAGTATTTTTGTGTATTTCTGTTTCTATTTTCTTTCTTTTTCTTTCTCTCTCTCTCTTTTTTTAACTTTTTCTGTCTTCCCTTCGCTCTTTGTCGTCTTCTGCTGTTCTATGTAGTTTAAATTTGTATAGGAGCAGAAGCCGACCGAGGGGCACACGGATCACTTAGCAGGAAAGTGCGAGAATCGTCACCGGCCTCCGGCTTCTAAGACGCGTATATCAAACCTTCACGGAGGGCCACGTACTCACACGTATATGTACACGTACGCGCATAAATATATGTAGAATATGTTCACTCGCTGTTCGTGTAGGTAAAAAGAAAAAAAAAAAAAAACAACGCACGCCCACGCGAGCGGAAAGCCGGTAGGAAAGTATTGGAGTTACCATTGGAACGCCCATACTAAGTTAAACGAATGACCTTAACGAATGGGTGCTCATGATCGTTCGAAACAAAAAATCTTCCTTTTTCTTTTTTTTTTTTTTTTTTTTACTTCGCCGTAGATTTCGCAAGTAATTTTTTTTTTTTTTTTTGTTTTGTGTTATTTTTTTCCTTTTGATTTAACGCGATTGAACGTCAACCGACGAATTATTGATTTGATTTGATTTTACCGATATAATCATGGGTATGATATAAAATAAAATGAACTTTTTAGATTTAATCGAGTTTAGGTTCACGTGGAGGAACGATTATTGAATTTTTGTCGAATAATATGTAACAATTCTGCGTGGATTTTATATTGGATTAAAAAGAAAAAAAAAGAAAAAGAAAAAAAGAAATCTCGTTTGAAACTTGAAATGAATTCGCGTAAATAAAGGTTGGCTTCGATTGATTATCAAATTTTTATTTGTTCGTTTAATCGTGAAAAAAGTGATTATTTCTTATTTCTTTTTTTTTGTCAACAAACTAAACAAAATGATATGAAAATAAAATATGTTTCGTAGTTTCATTTTCGAAAAAAAAACCTGTCGACGTTGGTAAGAGATAGTAAAATTAATTTTGCAAGCGCATTCGGGGAGTACTTATCTTCGTTTCGTACACAGCTAAACGCACACGCAAACACATACACACATACACACACACACATACGTATAGGGTAGCACAGACGAAAACTGAAAAGAGTGGCGAACGTTGTTACGCGAGACGCGAACGTAAACAGCCAAAGTACTTTATCGTGTTTTCTATTTTATTGCAACGAAAAGTGATCAAATTTCTTTGTCTCAAAAGAAGAAGAAAAAGAAGAAGAAGAAGAAGAAGGGAAAGAAAAATTTTGGAAACGTAAAAGACAAACGTTGTATTTAATAAAACTATAGAAATTGTTTATTTATTCTTCTCCCTCAAAAATTTGTCAAACGATTTAGAACTTTCGTGATCTTTTCTACGATTAAAAAAAGAACAAAGAAAAAACAATAGAAAAATAAAAAATAAAATATAGAATAATATGTGAAAAGGACCACCACGTAGAAATAAGTTCTTCTCAATGAAAGGCAACACCTCTTCGTATTCTCGTATGAATGAACTTTACGACCGGTCCTTATTTCTCTTTTACTTTTATGAGCACTTTTATTGGGAATCCCGACGTTTATGAGTGGATCCTCGACGAACGGAAAATTCGGCAGAGGCCTCTTTGATCTTTATTGTATTGACGATTTAATTCAAATTATTTCATTAATTACATGTCACATTTTTCTCTTTTTTATTTTATTTAAAATCAGTAGATGATTCACTTAATACAAAATTGCTAGAATCGAAAATAAATGAAATGAAAATTTATGCAAAAGGTTAATAACTTGGCGATCCTTAAAGTGTCAACAAAATTTAATTAAACAAATAATACGAATCCTTTTTCTTGATTTTGTGATTTATATTTTGCATATTATATTAAACAATAGAAAAATTCTTACAACGTACAGTTATGAGCTTATCAATAGAATAAAACTCAAAATAATATTCATTGTAGTAATCGCTGTGAAACGAATGCTATATTAAAAAACAATAAGTTAAAATAATTTAAAAAAGAAAAAACGAGAAATAAATTATCAACAAAATAGAGGATACTTTAAAAAAAAAAAAAAAAAAGAAAAACAAAAAACAAGTAAAAGATAAAAATCTTAACAATATTTTGTAAGATTTGTCCCAATTATATTTAGATCGTTTTCTTTTATTTCCGTTAGTTAATATATTCTATTTCTCTAGAAAATCGAATATCCATCGAAAGAAAATTTGTCCAAGTCGGTAGGTTGGGAGCTTGGATAAAAAAATACTGATAATGGTAGGGTATCCAGCACGTTGATCGGCGTTTTTATATTTCCCGATTGACAGGCGGCAGCTTCAAAGTGACTGAATAATAAATTCATAAATCAAATTATTCCTCGTGAATATTATGACGGACGTATTTATTCAGTTGTCACAATCGCGAATGCACTTTCATAGTGCCACCAGATACAGCGTTGACGTTTAATCCATTCGAAGAAAAAAAATATACAAAATCGAGAAAAACGGAAAAAACAGAGAGAGAGAGAGAGAGAGAGAAAGAAAGGAAAAAAAAATTATCGAAAGAGTTAGAAACATTTTCTTTTACATCGAACAAAAATCATTCTCGTAAATCAAAATCGAATGTTACGACGATGGGTAACGATCAGCAAGCAAAAAAATATCCGAAACGAAATTTACAATCACCTTGCATTATAATCAAACCAAAAGTATACGAAACAAATCAAATACCAATACGTTAATACATACGTAAACGTAAATGATATTCATTTATAAATGAGAATATCATTATTTTATATTACATTCGATTAAATTCGATTTATCTCAAACTACTCGAATAATTTATTACGAGTAATATCGATATTCACGAAAATATCTCAAGTATACACTACAAAACACGATATCCGAACATCATCGTTCATAAAAAAAAAACATAAATAAATAAATAAATAAATGAATAAATAATCCAAGTGTCCAGTAACGAACCCTCGAGCATAAAAAGCATTCCAAGTGTGTGACAAACGAAGTATAATACATTTTATACAAATCTACTGATCATTTTCAGTTATCCTTGATTTGCATATGATTTGATTTTCTTTTTTTTTTGAAGGTGGTGGAAGGGATAAATAAAAGAATTAAATATAATAAAAGGATTATCAAGGAAATAAGATAGAAGTTTCTTTTTTTATTATAATCTGGTTGAAAACCTAACACTTTCCTCGCAGTTTGCACCACCGACAACATCCTAACTCTCACTAAATCGTTCCTTAACTTCTCGCCTAATGTAATCAGTGTTGAGGTAATTAAGGTCATCAAACTCGAGAAGCGCTTTCCTTGGGCGACCACGTGTTGCGGCCACGAGGATTTCCTTCTCTCTCTCTCTCTCTCTCTTTCTCACACACTCTCTTTTGCTCTCTTTCACCCGTTACAACCCCCCTCCGTAACAACCTTTTTTTCTTTTTCTTTTTTTTTATATATATACCATAAAAACTTTTCCTTCTAATTTCATTACCGTTTAGTGTACCTAAACGCTCCTGTCCCATCCCAACCGTAGACATTTGCTTCAATCGACTTGGAAATAATATAATCATTGTTAGATCTTATTTTCTGTTTGTTTGTTTTTTTTTTCGTATTGATACACGTTTTCTCTTATATAAATTATTAGAATCGATGTTTGATAAATATTGGATTCATTTTATATTAATTTATTGTTAGAATATTGATAGTAACGTCTTTTTGTTTTGTTTAAATTTGACAAATATTTTGTTTAGATATTAAATTAATTATGTATACGTTGTGTATGGAAGTCAATAATTGAAATGAAAATTTGTTAAAGATTGAACAAAAATTCAAATTGTATCTAACTCGTTTATTAGACTTGATATATAAGATTAGAAGTGAACGTGTTAATATAAATAAAAAATTTGAAATGAAATCTTCGCGTTAGATGTAATTTGAAATTAGAGAATTATTTTTATAATTATTTAGAAAATTGATCGTGTGGGTTAGTAATCTATCTTGTCCGACGGCTGACGATTAAAAGCAAGGATGAACGTTTGATTTTCGACTAAACGAAAAAGAAAGTAAATATGATTTCTTCGATTTAACAATAATTATAAATTCCGACTATGACATTATCGATAATCAATATTAGTTACACTTTTGGAACGGATTGCTGTTGCCTTTTCGTTTAGGTATTTATGCTTCCTCACAAATCAAAGATTCGTTTATGACGTTAGCAATATCGATCCTAAGTTAGAAAAATTTATAAAACCTGACTGAACTTTGCACACTTTTATTCGAAGACAATGTTCCAATTGTTACTTAAATTTATACGAAAAATAACGAGTTAACGTGTATATATATATAGAAAAATAATTGATATTGTTAATTAGTTAATAATTGAATCTTTCACACATCTCGTTTGTTTAATTAGATTAAGTAGTTTCATCATTGTTCAACGACACTTTTATCAATAATATAAAACAGGAATTTTCATCACGTAAACCATGATTTCGATCAATTTTATTGTTCTCTCGTTCAGATTCAAATTATTAATGATTGATCTGATAAAAAGTTTTTTAAACACGAATGTTTATCACAATTTGCACATATCAATTTGATCTTACAAATTATTTAGACTAACCTCACTGCACACAATCTTCGAGTATACCTATTTCAAATAAATAATGATAATCTACGTTATGGGGTAGTTATGAAATTCTTTAAGATTCTCGTTAACCCAAAAAATTATTGGTAAACGATCATAATTTGCTCTTTATAGAAATGAGAGAAAGCAAATCGAATGAATAAAAATAGTAAGCAAATATCAATCATTATAATTTCTTATAAAGTCACCAAAAAAAAAACTAGTTTAATTCATCCAACATATTGAAACCACAAAAATTCTCTTATCACACAAACAAAATTCTAACGCCTACAATTCTGTGTGCTAACTCATTTTGAGAAATCACCAAACAAAAACTAATAAAATTCTTCTTCTATAGTAACCATAAAACAAATAATTAAAATTTATTCTTCTATCATACAACAAATAGACCCAAATACCTTCTAACTTTCGGTGCTAAAAAAACCTTTGTCAATTTAAAGGTGTTAACTATTTTGTAAAATCATCAAACAAAAACAAAATTATAATCCTTCCTTGATAAAGAAAAGAAAAAAACCACAGAACAAATACTTGAATCTAAACCTTTGGCAAATAAATTAACAAATAAAACATTCCAAATAAAATTCTGATTATTCCTAATTTTTGATTAACGAGATCATCAAACACATGGGGATTTGGGGATTGTTTGAAATGAATTAAGATTAAGTACTTACCGGGAATACCGTGTACGGAACCACCGAGTGAGATATTGTTTATCATGCCGCACCCGGGGAGCGTGGCTCCAACACAGTACGCGGAACCAAAAATCCACGCGTCTATTGCGTGCACCGTGCCCTTCTTTGAGGGACTTTTAATATTATTATTATTATTATTATTATTATTATTATTATTATTATTATTATTATAATGAAACAGTTGGTCGATTGGGGATATAAGATAATCCGGGTTGTAGTAATAGTTGTTATCGCGTTTCCTCGTCTTATTCCAAATAATGTTTAGTTTGCTTGGTTGAGGAACAACGGCCCGTGCCTCAGCAAGGCAAACAGCGGACTGCCTGGCTGCCATATCCAAACTCCCCCACCTCTTCGATCGTCCCTAGCACGTCCGTCCTCCTCCCCTCTCCTTCTTTTCCCACCCCCCTCCCACTCCGACTACACCACCACCTTCTCCTCCTACTCCTACTCCACCTTCTATCTATCCATACTGTACTACTACCCCCACTCTTTCTTTGCTTCGGGGGCGTGATATTAAATCGTCCGTATCCTTCCAACTAGTCTCAGGACCGTATCTACTATTAACTTCCTCCACGATTTTACTAGTCCCAACGTACACGCATAGACAATTATTTTTCTGTTTTTTTTCTTTTTTTTTTTTTTTTCTTATATCTACCTCCGCCAATTTCTTTCTCTATGATACTCCATATTACAGAATAATATTTAAGTTGATGATTATAAGCTTAGAAAATTACAATAATTCTTATCGAATACTTTGTGTAATATATTATAATCGTTGTCATAGCGAGAATATACAAACTAATTATAAATATAAAATTTGATTAATTGAATATATAAAAGAAAGAAATGAAAAAAAAGTAAATAAATAAATAAAAAAAACTAGGTAAAAATAGATGAATAAGCAAGGATATTTGGAGTATAGTATTTTTAGCGTAAAAACCTTGGAGTATATATGTGAGGTACAAGAAAAGCTAGCTAGCTAGCTTATCGTAGAAGAGAGAATAAAAGGGGTAGGAGGTGGGGCGAAGGAAATAAAAAAAAAAAAAAACAAAAAAAGAAAAAAGGTAGGAAGAAAAATACAGACATATAATAGTAGAAATCGAGTAGGAGACGTTGGAGGTAGGTAACGAGGAAAGAATTTTGGAATCGCGGGTCTACGTTGGTTGGCAGCCGGTCGCGCAGGTCCGTGTCCATATCCAGGGGTAAACTCTATTCAGGTTAGAGTCTCCTACTTGGGGTATCTTTGTTTTGCGGTAGGCGGCAACCGGGAGGGACTGTAGCTCCAATGAGCGAGTAGCCCGCCCTCTGAATGCCCCACTAGCTTTCGCTACCCGGAGATTTATTGAAATTTTATTTTTATGGCCGGCGAGCACGGCGAACTGGCTGTGAACGAATAGAGGTGGGAGGATGAGGAGATGATGTTAGTGGATAAGGGGTAGTGAGGGGTTTGGAAAGCAGCTCTGAATAGACGACGAAGAAGAAGAGGACAGAGAAATTTCTTCTTCTCTCTCGTTTCTCCTCCTCTTCCTCCTACTCCTCCTTCTTCTTCTTCTTCTTCTTTTTAACCTCCTCTTTCTCATCCCCCTTCTTCTTCCACCTTCCACCACAGTTCTATGTTTTCTCTTTCCATCTTTCTCCCACTCTCGTGTGCTATCGCAGTACGCCGTGCTGCTTTTCCACCCTCCCCAGTCGCTCGCTTTATTCGCCTACGTCCTTTTAATTCAATAGCTACCCTTTTTTATATAACGTGCCGTCCGTCGAGCAAAAACGGAAGTCGCGTTTCTAACGACGACCAAGAGAGAATGAGAGAGAGAGAGAGAGAGAGAGAGAGAGAGAGAGAGAGGAAAAGTGAGAGATAGGTGAGATGTTTTTGACCAGTTGATACCACTTTTTTTTGAAGTAGTTATCACATATTTCGTATTATACAATATCTTTATATATAATTTATAACAAAAACACATTTAGAAAATTATATTCTATAATTTATAAAAATTCATTATATGTGTTCTTTCATTGTTAAGATGACAATTGAAATGTTTGATTATTATCAATTAGGTTATACTTTTTCTTTTGACAATACTTATTTCATATATTTATATTAAACTACACATTATATCTAAATCATAAAAAAAAAAAAAAATTAAGACAATTTTCTTCTATATGACTAACCAATAGAAAATATATTTTTCCTATTCTTCGCGATTGTCAGAAATTAATTAAATATATTTAGATTGACGCATATAAATATATTATATTAATTACATATAATATTTTTTTTTTTCGAGACAATATCTTATTTTATACAAAACAATATTAGTAAATAAGTTATATCTTATAAATTATATAGCAACTAAAACATCCTTTCTTGTGTTCTATTTCTTTTAATCGATTGTAACTAAGTATTTAACAATACGCGTGTTGATCATTGAACATATACATCATTATCAATTAAGCAACCGGTTGCTCTTCTTTTAATATTCCTCATGTGCATCGCGTTTTCCCTAATAATAACACGTGGATGGAATCACCGTTGTACTCGTACGATCGGAAACGGTACAGCGTATGCAAATATATCGCTAATCCGATTAAGTATAATTAACGTCGCGAGCGTATAACCGGGGATGTACGATCCGAGAAATTTTCGACTATCTCTCTTTCTCTCTCTCTCTCTCTCTCTCTTTCTCTCTCTCTTTCTCTCTCTCTCTTTCTCTCTCTTTTCCTCTCTCTCTCTCCGTACTCTCTTTGTCAACGCGGTTACATCGAACGCGAACATCAACGACAAACGTTCGCTTCGTGGCGGTCTCGATGGTTCCCAGCTTGTATTTCCAAAAAATTCTATGGAATCTCTCGTTTAATGAAACAGATAGGTCGGTACCTACCTATAACTGGGGAATGCAACGCGAAATCGTGAACCACCGGTAGAATCCTCCGACGTGCTTCAAACCTGAATATATATTTCACTAAACGCGGCACTACCTTTTCAACTATTATACCATACTATAATAACAAAAAACTAATATATACTATACATACTTCTAACATCCTCACAACTTTTGTTCTTCGAAATAGTTATAACAACTCGCGTACGTTAGTTATAATATTTTATTTCACTTAGGATAAATTATTATTATTATTATTATTATTAATATTAATATTAATACAAATTTCTCTTAATTCGCACATAAGCGGGTATTAAATATTATATTCTGTAATAACTTGATATTAAATTACGAAAAGTGTTACGAAAATATGTTACTGTCAGTGGTATATATTTGAAAAAATGATTTTTTACTTACTTTCTACGAACCGTCGCTTCTACGATCATAACATTCTCGATTATCTCTTTCGATTTGATAATATTTATCGAAATAATATATTTTTTGTCTTTTTTTTTTATTCTTACGATCAGTAAAATATGTTTTTAAATGATAAAATGATATTTTTTCAGAAAATAAATTTGTATATTCGTATTATTTATCGAAAATAATGTATATATGTCTACTCGTATCTAACACGGAACATGCGTGTTTCTTTCTGTTTGTGTGTGTGTGTGTTATATGTTAAATGTATATACGTGTGCCCTGGATACGATCGATTTTAAACAGACACGGGACGTACAACGCCAGCAAATTGACAATGTGTCGAATGCACGCAACCGATGCCTCCGGGCTAAAACACTATCCTCTATCTGCTGACAAGACCGGAGTTTGTTCTCTAGATCAAATTTGATACATTTTCCAGAAGATATATGGAGGACATCCTAGATACCTTTCGACGTGTTAGCCATCTTCTCTTTTTATCTTTTTGGTTTGTTTTCTTTATCTTTTTTTTTTTATTTCAAAAACTAATACAATACATTGCTAATTAAAAAAAGATATAATCAATGGGATGTTTCGTTTAATTTACTTTTTATTTTTTTTTTTTTTGAAGTCGTTATTATACTGATTTATACAAAAAATTATTAAATTGTAATAATTTTTTTTTTATAGAGAAAATGTATATTTGAATGTGTGTATAATTTATTACAACAATAAATTGTCGATTATAATATATAATCATGAATGCTTTTGGGGGGATTGTTTAATTTTTTACAAAATTACATCTACAAAATAAGAATTTTTTTGATACGCACAAGCAATAACAATATTATCCCCGCTTAAGATTTCATATTAAATCACAAAAGTAGATTAAAAATGTTGCCATGCCGAATACGTCCACGTATGTTTTTATCATGCACATACAAATTATCATATTTTATAAGCGCAAATTCGATTTACATTTTGCATATTAAACGTACCAAAAAAAAAAAAAAAAACCAAAATAAAATCATACCTTTTACACATTTCAATAATAATCCAGATAGATAGATAAATAAATAGTTTATCATTAAAATCAATCGATAAATTCATATTTGTTAATGAAAAAGATAGAAAAACGGATAGACACGTGGGTGTCTATCCACTTCGTGTAATAGCAATCTGCTATATGACGTCATAATCAAAGCTCTATATCATCATTAATATGAAACATAACTTGATCGTAGTTCGTCTCTATCAAAAGATACGAAAAAATCAGAATGATCGAATAAAACTAATCACTATCGTTCTGTTTTCTTTTTTCTCTTCTCTTCTCCCATCTTTTTCATAGTCTGCTATGTGCGTGTATGTGCATGGGTGTGCGTGATTTTTTTTTTCTTTTTCAAATTTTAATGAACGACGGTAGCACTTTTGAGCTGACGTTGTTCGAACTACGAACGTAAACGCGCATTGGTAGATAACAGGCGACACAGGTAGACAGGAATTTCTGATATTACATACCAGAAACAGGAATTCCCACATAACAATTCCCCGGGAGTGTACGAGCTTCTCTCTCTCTCTCTCTCTCTCTCTCTCTCTCTCTCTCTCTCTCTCTCTCTCATTCTATCTTTCTCTCTATATATCTATCTATCTTTCTCTTATANCTCTCTCTCATTCTATCTTTCTCTCTATATATCTATCTATCTTTCTCTTATATACATACACTTGCTTGCTTGGTTGTTTGCTTGCTTGCTTGCTTGCTTGCTTGCTTGCTTGCTTGCACACTACTCCCTGT